GAAGCTTTTGGGTATTGCCGACACTCCACGGGCGTATATCTGGTTGGTGTACACCTGTTGGGAAACACGGTGAGACCGAAGAAGCATGCTACCAAGACACATCAGCACAAACCAGCTCGTCGTATATGATGGCAGGGTGTTTCTTGTCACACAGAGTGGAACCGGGATGTACTTTGATGATCTACGTGAAATAGAAGACGTCAACCAGTTGCCAGAGGTACATTGACCCGGACGAACCGTCTGTCCCATGGTTTGCTTGTACGTCCCATCTGCCTGCAAGAAAGCGGAATTTCCGGCAAGCCCATGACCCATGCTCCTCACAATCGCGTCCTCGTTCTCCTTCGCTGACACAGTCGCGTCCATTCCTACTCGGCCACAGGTCACCACGAGCTGTTCGCGGATATCCCTGGCCTCAAGAAAAGTTCGTTCATTCAGGAAGTGCTTCCGACACCACTCTCGTCTGCCGTGTTTGTTCTCGGCGGCGGCGATCTCGCGATAGGCCTTGACAGCGTTGAGAATGGTGCAGTGGTCCCCGCTTGGGTTGCGAAATTTGCGTCGCGCTTCGGCAACTGCCTCGCGTTGCTCGGTTATGTCGAGGAACAGCTTTGAGGAGGTTGAGAGGATCGAGATGATGTCAAGAATTTCTGAAGTACATGCATATTCCTTGGAGGCGACGATGGCACAGGCAAATTGGGGTTCAAGTGGGAATAGCGCCATTTTCCGTCCTGCGGGTGTCAGATATTGGTTATTATCGATGGCACCGAGAAGCCAAAGTGTTTTAAGGGCCGAGGCGACTGTAATAGGGTGAGGAATCTCAAAGAGTAATCGAGAAAATGATCACTTGCTAGACTCAAAATCGGGCTTGTCCATGAGGTCAATGTCTTCAAGGTTCTGTCCCAGACATTTGAGATTCAGGATGCTCGAGGTGAGGCTGCACCTGAGGATTTCGGGGTCTCCTGAGACTGCCATACTGCTATACGCCTCCTCTGTGTACAGGCGAAAGCAGACGCCCATGCCCTACGTCGCGTTAATGTCCGGAACACTCAACCTAGCAAGAAAACAATAGCTCTATCGTTCCATGTGGCAGAGGACTTTGTGATATCCCTCGTCAAGAGAGTATCAAATCCTACAATGGGCTGAGTATGATTTGAACGCATATATGGAGGCCCTCGTACCTCCACCTGCGGATCTGGCAAGGTACTGCTTTTCCTTGCACTTCCCGGTGTCGATAACGTATTTGATACCAGGTATCGTTATCGACGTTTCAGCAATGTTGGTGGCCAGGATACATTTCCGCGTGTTGGGAGGCGTTGGATTGAAAGCCTTGCTATTTTGCGAGTTGTCCTGTGCAGCGAACATGGTACATGTCAGCACCTGAGACAAGTTCCTAGTCAATATTATCATGGACGGCAACAGCATAAGTACGTAGCGTACCGCGGGCGTATCCACAGGCAGTTGGTTGGCAAAAAGTTGAATTGACTTTTGAAGACTCTCGATATCCTCTTGACCAGGTAGGAATATCAAAACATCTCCCGGCGGTTGATCGGTGTGGATTTGGAAGAACGCTCGCATAGCAGCGTCTGTATAGTCTAACTGGCTTTCCACAGAGTGATATATCTTGACGGGATGTTGCCGGCCCTTGATGTAGACAATTTTCGCACTTTGGGCTGTCAGTCCTGCGGGCGCAACTGTGAGAAAGTGGTGCTTACTTGTAATAGAATTTGCTGAATTTCTCAGCGTCGAGAGTAGCACTCATAATGACAACCTTGAGAGGGTTGGAAGAATCCGCCTTCCCCTTCCCCTTATCGTTGGGACTTGGGTTCCTCTGCTTTTGAATGGACTTGAGATTGGCTATGAGCAAATCCGTTCGGAGCGTCCTTTCGTGGGCTTCGTCGACGATCACCACACTGTAGTTGCTCAGAAGCGGATCCGACATGAGTTCCCGGACAATCATTCCATCAGTAAGGTATTTTATCCGGGTTTTGGCCGAATGCTTCTCGTCGAAACGAACGGCATAACCAACAAGGCCTCCAACGGGAACACTTTGCTCCAACGCTACACGCTGCGCAAGAGAAGTGGCGGCAACTCGACGTGGCTGAGTAACTGCTATCATGCCGTTTCTCGCTATCCCGCTCTCCAGGATGTATTGAGGAACCTCTGCGCACAATGAGCGCCTGTTTGACAACCGACAGCTTTGGACTCACGAGTTGTCTTTCCAGAACCCGTTTCTCCTAGAAGTACAGTGACATCGTTATTCTTGATTTCATCAATGAGAGCATCTCTTCCTATATGCTGAGTAAGTGGGGGAAGGCTGTCGTTCGAGAGGACGAACCTTGGGCAATGGGGAGCTGACGACGCTGCTCTTGGATTGCCTTTGCTTTTGCGCTTATCGAGCCCGAGTTCATGCCATTGGTGTGGGGCGTGCTTTGTCTGCTCGGACCCGCTTCGTCTGAAACTCCATTCAGGTGTGGGGAGTCGCTGTGCTGTGATGAGCGCCGGCGTTTTTTGTGTTTATGCCCGTTCTGACCATTCTGAGAGTGATCGTGGTGGTTATGGCTACTGGAATGCTTTCGCTTAATTCCGTTCCTCTTTTCCTTATCGTCGTCGTCACTGACGTCGACCCAGGGGAGCTGTTTTGCCTTCTTGTGCTGTTTAGCTGCCTTCAGGCCGTAGAACGATGAGTCTCTCATCATCTGCACGTTTCGAGGTCGTTCGAGAACGACAGGCATGTCTGATTTATGGTGATTTGTTCGTGAATATGAGGAGGAAGAATGGCCTGAATAAATGGGAGTTGTGGGCGGTCTGTTGCATGAGAGTTTTGTCGACTGTTGAGTTCTGGGTTCGAAAACTCATCAAGCAGGAGTCACACTTCCTCACGTGGAGTGACCTCCTATTCGCGTCACACGCGCGAGCAATTTGGGATTTTCCGTCTTGCCCAGGTGCATGACCTCTGTGAGGTCCTCTCACCATGAGTTATAACCGATGGTATCCTCCGAGCAGCGGTCATACCAGTAGAGGAGATGGATCCCAGCATCCTCCTGATCCCCGTGCCACGACATACACTGGTGCAGCGTCGACCAATGTTCACAATGGGCAGAGACTTTTGGCGGTTTATCCACCTGTATCTGCAACCCCAACGCATCATAGTGCGCCTTTCAATTATCTAAATTTTTATTTAATGCTGATGCAGAATCTAGTTTCCCGTCATATCAACAATATGACCTTGACTGCAGCACCCACATTCCCGCAACCCCAATATTACAACATGCACAACGGGACGAGATATGCACACGGAAATCCACCGCCATATTCAGAATACGACCAGCAATTACAGTACATGGCATCCCCTCAAGTGCCGGTGAACGACTCTGGATACTGGGAAAACACGCGGAATGAGGCTGTAAGGATGGTGAACGAGCAAGCTGGCACGTACGTGTTCGAAACGCGCATATAGTGAATGTAAACTTGACAGAAGCCTTCCAGATCATATCAGTATCGTGAACCCGTGCAATGGGTGGACTCAGCACCTTCCTCCTCGTACCAGACCAATCCTTTCGCGCAATCTGTATTCCAACGCACTGCGCCAAGTAGCGCATACCCGACCCCTCCACCACCTGGCATTAGCACCTCTTCGTCTTCACTCGCCTTCGCCCTAGGTGGTCCTTCTGCTCCACCGCAAACTTATGCTTTGCCTCCGCCAAAGGTTTTCAAACCGCTAGAGTCCCAACAGTTCTATGATGACTTCCTGGAACGTAAGGCACAACAAATAGGACCTCCGCTTCTTCCAGTCGCTCCCGCCCCTCGTTCAGAGCCTCTTCGTGCTGTCACACCACCTCCGAAGCCTCAGAAATCTTCCCCGGAAGAAAGTCCTGATCCTCTTGTCCTGCGATCAGCCAGTCCAACGAAGTCACTGCCCATGCAAGGCTCGGTGACACCTAAAAAGCGGAAAGCTGTCGTCGAGATCGTTTCTCCCTTCCTCAAGCGCATGAATTCCTCGAAAACCCTCTCCAACTCTTCTCTTGGTAGTCTACCACATTCCCAGTCCTCTGCACCGAAGACCCCTCGAACAAGTGTCCCGTTGACCCCGAGCTCGACCGCTACTTCGTTTTCTAACATGTCAGGGTTGTCTCTCAACGCAACACCGACCCATAAGAAAATTGTGAACAAGGCTTACGTTTCTATCCCACCCAGCCCTTGGTTGACCCCTTCCTCTTCTCGCAAAAGTGTCAAGGTCGATGATACACCTGACGATTTGGGTGGTTATGGATCAGAAGAGGACGGCCCTTCCAGCCCAACTAAGCGGGCACGCATAACGGACTCTGTAAAGAGTTCGGCGCGTCGTACTGGCGACCGGGATGAACGAGGTTGGTCGGATGGTGCACGCAGGACTTCAGATTCTTGACTTATTATTTACTGCAGGTCCGCTCGAGAAACTCACTTCATTAATCGACGACATTTTCGAAGCTGAAGATTCTCTTCCTCCCGAGGTCGAAGCCAGCGATCTTAATCACGATTTCTTCTCTCCTCTCTCCTCGGATTGCTCTCGTCCTCTTCTCTGCCCCGCCATCATACGAAAGCTAACCAAGTACATCGGTTATGTTGCCCGACCGTCCAAGAGACTTCGCCAGACAACAGGTGGAGTTCTGAATACTCCTCGTGGTAAGGAACGGATGGCGGATGTCGATACTCAAATGCTATCACGACTCATGAAGATCTTGGAAAGGAGCGTGAAAGCTGGAGAGGTTATTGATCCATTTGTGTATCGCCACCCAATTCCACGGTCTGCGCAGTCGTCGCCGAAGAAGGCCAGCAGCAAGAAGGCGACGAAGGCGACGAAGAACGATCGGAGATCGCGATCAAGGACGCCAAAGGATGGTGAGGACGGCGGTGAAGACGAGGGGAAGGAAGAGCGCCATGCAGACATACCTGCTGCTACTGAAGTCGACCTCGAACAGCTTACGACCCTCCTCGACATCGCTCGGGACAGCATTCTGGCCGCTGATTGTTGCACCGCCCTGTTGGGAAGCGATAGACTGACGAAACAGGTGGGCCTCAAATTCTATGCTCACTTTATCCGTTTGACATGTCGCGCAGCTTTACTCTGAGGAACTCATCATGGCATGTCTCAATACAATCAAGAACCAGTTGACGAAGATTTTGTACCCATTTGTTGAAGCTTCTGCTGAGGCCAATACAAGCTCGCACCAAAATCCTCTCATCCACGGCATCATCAAGGACAGCACCTCGCTCTCTTCCACACATCGACGCCAAATGGCCGATCTCTTTCAGGCTCTCGCCGCCGTCATGCCCAAGGTCAATAATCTCGTCAATGCTGAGAGCGTGGCGATGTCGGACACGATTATCATCTCCGCCGTTTACATCGCCATTGGTCCATTTTTTGTCGTCGAAGCTGGTGGTGACGCGGATACGAAGGGCAAGAAAGAGAATGTCATTAACAAGATTCTGGGAAAGAGTGCAATGAGAGGCCTCCGGTTGGATGCATTGTCTTTAATTCGTAGTGTAAGTCCCCCTCCATTCTTTGTTCACTCTTATTGACTTCTTGCTGGCCAGATCTTCGCCAACCACGAGGATCAAAGGTCTTGGATTATCGAAGAAATCTTGACGTCGTTAATCAAACTGAATGACACGAAGCAAAAAGCTGGTCAGTTCAAGTGAGTAAAAGCATGAATGTATGCACTTTGTGGTACTGACCTTTGATGACAACCAGACTGCGCGATGGACGATCGATTAGGACTGTCTCAGCGCTGTTAATGCAGTTAGTTCAGACGTCTGCTCACGACGTGCGCATAGAGGCGAAGAAGCTGGGCAAGGTCAGGCAGAACAAGTTCGCTCTTCGTCGCCAAGAAAGCTTCTCGGAGCAAACACAGCCTGAGCTCTTCCTCGATGAGACTGACCAGGAGGAAATTCAGCTTTATGGCACCGCCCTTGAGTCAGCAATGAAAGCCGCGAAGACGATCATCATTTTCCTGACGCAAAGGTCCGGCAAAGGCAAGGCGACGAAGAGCTCTAATGAAGCCGAATATCGTGCAATCTTCGACAACCTCATCAATGATTTGCTTGTGGTCCTCTTTTGGCCAGAATGGCCCGCAGCCAGCATCGTCCTCAGCATTGCCACTAAGTTTATGGTACGTTCTTTAATGTTTCATGTTTCATGAGCACGCCAGGTAAAAATATTCATTTCGCTCTAGCTTTCATCCCTCGATGATGTAAAAACGAATGCACAAACGGACTCAAATGCTGCGAAGACTATAGCCCTGGATCATCTTGGTGTCATCGGAGCAAAAATCAGGACAAGTACGCTCAAGGTTCAGAAGGAGTCCCAAAGCGGAACCAGGAAACCTTTGAAACCCCTGGATGATGTAGGCATTTATTATATTATTTATATTTGGGTCCTTGAACTTTACTTAGATCGTGTCTGACCTCAGCCTCAAGTATCTGAACCGATTCTTGGAGGCTCATCAAGATGTCGCCTCTCATCTTTGTAAACGATCGTCGGAGGATCAAGCTTACGATGTGAGTCATTGGCTACAAAAACCATCTGTCACATCCTCACTATTCTCGCCTTAGAGCGCCAGGGAGTTGACCGCTGCTACCGTCGGTCACGAGCTAGCTGCCGCTTTGAAGCAGGTTCATGGTTGGATAGAGAATCCTCAAGCAGACGAAGACCTTAACATCAAGGATGAAAGTAAACTTCTAACTTTTGGTCAACGTTTGAAGACGGCTCTGCGGGACGTGTGGAAGGATCCGTCTACTGACGTGTTCGATATTGGGTAGGTCAATTTTGCTTTCTCAAGCCTTTCCACTCATCTTTGGTCTACGTAGCTCTCAGGAAGATGCCATAAGGGTTGACAGACTTGCGGAGGAGATCGGCACAATCCAGAACCTCCGTAATTCATTCAACCCAATCCTCAGTGTCATACTGATGGCTCTCGACGCCCCGGCCATTTTTATGAGAACTAAGGCCTTGCGCGCTCTCGGGCAAATCATCACGAGCGATGCGACGATTCTTGCTTCTGTGCGTCTTACCGAGCTGCCTCGTCCTCCTGTTCTCATTCACTCATAGCCCAACGTGCGCCGAGGCATTGAAAATCACCTCCTGGACAGTTCTCCGGCCGTCCGTGATGCAGCTGTTGAACTCATCGGCAAATACATGATTGATTCTCCTGAAGTTGCCGGCGATTACTACAGCAAGATCGCAGATCGTATTGCAGTAGGTGCCCTGTGATTGATTCGTGCCATGTCATTAACGTCATTAACAGGATACTGGACTCAGTGTTCGAAAGCGAGTCATCAAACTTCTGAAGTCTTTCTATACTGTTACTTCCGACAATGACCGGCGCATTGATATCGCTACTCGCATGATTCTACGGATGTTAGATGAAGATGACACGGTCAAGGAGCTTGCTCTGAAGTTGATCGAAGAACTATGGTTCCCACCCATGCTCTTGCCTTCTGCCCTCAAAACCCGTACCCAACCATCAGCAAATAACGCACACGACAAAGCTGAGCTATTGTCCAAGGTTCTTGTTATTATGGGCACATCTGCCAACTTCAAGGACCGCTCGTCACCTCTTGAAGACGCTCTGCACAAGATCATGGTGGAGAAGGAAGGCACCGAAAGGTCCTCACTGCATGCTCGTTACGGTGAGATATGCGAGGCTTTGATTGATGGCTTGGTCGATGCCACTGAACTTCCCGGCTTCGTAAGCTCGATTCTTCTCTACACACCACGGGCTTTCACAGACGGGTTCTCTCCAGACGATCACTAATTGCATAAGGACCATCTACCTCCTCGCATCTGCATATCCTTCCGTCCTTTCGGGAACAAATGCATCCACACTCTTGCCCTATCTCAAGAATGCCAGCTCGGTGGGAAGTCTCCGTTCTTTATCCGAGGCAAATTGACATTTCTCTCTGTAGGCCGAGGAGCTAGCCACTTCTGATTACCTCTTGAAAATATTCAAGGTGTCGATCCCACATATGCCGAAAACGGCCGCTAAGTTTGGGCACGAGCTTCAGGCCGCTCTGCAGCCCATGATCATCAAGCCCTCTGGTGGCGGTGGCATCCAAATTTTGCAGGAAACTGTCGGTTGCATGTGTGTTGTTGTACAACATCTCACACACGATTTCGTACGCCTCGTTAATCTCCTCAAGTCTTGCAATGGTGCGAAGATATCTGGTTCTATATCGATGCATTTCTAATACGATTCGTACGGCTATCTCCAGGCCGCTTGCAGCAAATTATCAAGAGGCCCGCTTCGCAAGAGCTCAATCAGAATGATGTTCGCACCTTGATTATCCTGATCTTCATCGTTGCTCTACTTGCCGAGAACTGCAACTTTGACAACCTTCGAAAGGAGAATGAAGGTAGGTGTAGTTCAGCAATGTTGTTGTCATTCTTACTAATTGAATGTAGGCCTTGCAGGCGACATCAATTCAATCTCGAGGAGTTCTATCACTGAGCATATCTACAACACAATGCTGACCCTTTACGAGAACCACGACAACCCAACTCTTCGTGGGCGACTTCTACAGTGTTTGGGTGCGTACGACATTGTTCTTTTTGCCAATGTGACTTTCCTGAATACCTCCTACAGGCTTCTTGTTTCGTGCTCAGCCGACCTTAATGACTATGGAACGATCAGCTATGATCATGGACGAAATTTTCGCGTCGCCTGAAGAGGAGAGCAAAAATCGTCTCCTCAGAATCATTCAAGACTTTTTGGTATCAGAGGCATCGAAGCACAGCGCGAAGGAGAAGGGTAAGAACAACGACAATCAGGACCTCATATGGACTTACGGTATTGCAGAGTCTTCGAAATCGAAGCCAAAAGCTGGCGACGTGAACATGGACGAATTGGTGGGAAACACGGACGGTTTCGCTGATTCAGGGTAAATTAATACGTTTTCTTCTGCTTCGTCGTTGACAGTCCTTTGCAGCGTCAGTTCAGCGATCGTCCAACGTTATTTGGATCATGTCCTTGAAGCCGCTTTGTCCCAAAACCCTCAAATGCAAGCTGTGGCTATCGATGTTTTGAGCTTCACCATCAAACAGGGGCTGGCTCACCCTCTTCAGGTAAGCCTCTTGTTACGCTCAGCCTACCCGTTCACTCAGGCTCCTTCTAGTCATTCCCTGTCATTGTCGCTCTTGAATCAAGCCCCGTCAGTAGCATTTTCAACAGAGCCACCGCGCTTCATGCCATTCTGCAAGGGAAACATGCGTCTCTTCTCAATACTCGTTACACCGTCAGTGCGAGGAAGTCGTATGAATACCAGAAGAAAATTGTCTCTGGTCCAGTTCAAGGTAATCACTTGTCTGATAACGTTCGGCTTTTTCTGACTGTTTTAAAGGATTCCGAATGCAACCTGTTCCCGTGGCCATGTTGCAACGATGGTACTCTCATGTACGCGAGAAACGGCCAACTAGACAAGAGTTTTTGAAGGCATTAGTGAAGACATTCCAAGAAAATCCGTCATATGAATCGACGCAGGTATGTGATGTACGAATTGATAGTGACCGCAGGATTTACGCTTTCTGCAGGACGACGTCAATTATAATAGATATATGGCCGAAAATTTTGCAGCTTTCGACTACAAGACCCAGGAAGAGGTCCTCACTGTGATCAAATATCTTACAAACGTTCTTTCTACAACCGGGATGCAGCTACTAGAAATAATCTCCCCAAACCATCTCCTTACGCAATTGCATGCTGGTTCTCAGGCCTCTCGACCGCCTCAACCCGAGATTGTTGCTTCATCAGACCCCACGACAGTAAGTGTACATCCTTTGACTTTCAAACCCGAATCTATTGTATCTAATTTCCTATTCAGATACAGCCAGATGCTATGGATGTCATTCCTACTGAAGCCCCCGATTCCAAATACAACAAGGTCGCTCTGATGCGAACGTCCGTTATAATTGCTATAGTCATGCTTCTAAAAGCACACCTCAAGACTTTGTATTCCCTCTCGGAAGAGTGAGTTTATTTTAGCTGGCATGTGTACAAGTTGTTGAGGAGTTTCCAGCAAATGTCTGAAATTTGTTATCGGAAAGAAGAGCGCCGTTGGAGACAAAGCGGCCACGAAACGTCATGAAAACCCTATTTCTTGGAGCCGCCTTCCTTTTGCCACTGCTCCTCTCCTGACAACTGAAGATGCTGACGTGCAGAAAGCTAGAGTGGGTCTCAATTTATTTGACACTGACCAACTAATAAATTATGCATAGTTCATTGAAATCTGGAACGAAGATGGCTTGACAGCCGAGCCTGAAGAAGAGGAATTCCTTTAGGCCCTACCATATCAACCACGCTTTTAACACTTGCTTGCTTCATCCACTTCAATCCGCTCGTTTGATTGTACATCCTGCTTGTTCCCAAGGACACTTCCGGGGTTTGTGTGTGTAAGTTTTATTATTATTACCATTGTTGTTCTTCTATACGGTATTCACAACTCATGCGTCGACAATACCCTCACAATTCGCCCATGTATGATAGCTCTAATGAGTTAATTGACCGTTGACATTTCTTGTTCCTCTATAGTGCGGGGGGTTTCGAGGCCATGCCGTCGACAAAGACCAGTGGGCCTTTTGGTATCTCGGGCAGCACTCGCTTGATCTCTTCGTCTATATCCGGCGCGTCTTCGAACTCCCAGGATAGGCCGCCGCCATAAGTTACAGGGAGATCATCGGTCTGAACGAGCTCCAACAGTGTCGCTTTGGAATCTTTGCCAAGGATATGGATCTTCTGGCGTGTTCCTTCGTCAAACCAGCCCTATGAAGACGTTCATTCTCGTCGGCGCACCTCTCAGCCGGGCAAAGAACAACCTACTTTGATCCAATTCCAGATCGTAGGGAAGAATGAAGGCGAGTTGACTATAACTACGGAGTGCAGTGTCTCGGGGTAGTTGGCCAAGAGGAGCTTGGATGCCTCCTGAAGATGGTGTCGCAGGCGCCACATAGACCCGAAGGAAATGTTCTCGAGGTCAAGGATGGTGGTAATGGAGGAGACAGGGACGGGCTCGATGGATCGAGGGATGTGCGAGCAGAGCGGCATCGTGAATCGCGTCATATGCTCGTAGAGGGTAGCCCTGTGAATGGCGGAAAGGATGAGAACGGTTGGTGAAGGGGGCTAATTTTAACTACTGACAACCTGTAAGATCGCTGTTGAGCGGGGAGAGCATAGAGCTCATGCTGCAACGAGTCTAGCGAGGCCAGGCGATACACAAAGAGCGGTATTCCCAGCTACTCGTTTTGCGTCCAATACAACGATCAAAACCAAGGTGGGGTAAGTAACTCTGGTTCAAACGTGAAACGAGCTTTCAAACGACGGCGATATGCACCTTATCCCTCCGGCCTGTCCACCTCGGGTAGAAGCGCTGAGCATGCTCTACATCCTCGTCGCTCATCTTGTAGTACAGCTTGCAGATCTGGTGCGTCTTCCGCCAGTTTTCGCATTCTGAGAATTGTTTTTGCGCGGCGGTCGGGTTGAAGGAGCGAGCGCGCAAGAAGCGCCTATCAATACAACGAATTAGATAAGTTGGAGAACGAGAACGATAAACGCAACGCACAAAAGAGTGGGGTCGTCATGAGACGCTTTCTCCTTTTCACGAGCTGGTGTATACAGTCCAGCCTTGGCTAGGTTTTCCTTGAACGTTTCGAGCGCCTTTTCCTGTTCTATAGTGAGGTTTCCGAGATGCCCGGCTAACAGCAAGCTTTGCTTGATATTGGGGTTTTCGATCGCTGTCGGGCGGGCGGCGTGCTCTCCCATGGCTGGCGAGATTGGGGAGGGGATATTTGACTGGTTAGAAGGAAGCTATGTTGCATCGAACTCAGCTTTTGTAACCCTTTAATCAGGGATGAAGCCACGCTTTACCGAGGTCCAGATAACTATCCTCCGATTCAGATGGGGCAGTCATTCATCCAATCCATTCAGCTCATCATCATTATCCAACTCTGGTCCGCTGCCTGCGGGGGACCAATAGGCTTCGGCAGCGAAAAGCAATGGCATCCGATCGAGTTGATGTTGCTGGTTATTCGTCACTTCAGGCTGAATACTTCTGTCACCGCACGGACGTTCGACCTTACAAATAACTGTCCTTTCTTATCTCAAAAAGCTCTATGTATTACACAGCGGTCGCAACTCACAGATACACTGCCCCTGAAAGATCGCCATAGAAGACCCTTTCATCGATGCGGTCGTACGCAAGTTGTACGTACAGTATATGCATCATGATGGTGGAGGTGGTTTGCTGATTGTACCATCGGAAAAGATAGCTGGGCCTTTAGGCAGTTCGGGGACAACCTTCTTGATATCCTCGTCCAGATGTGGTGGGCTTTCAAATGTCCATTCAAGTTCGCCTCCGTAGGTAACGGGAAGATCGTGTGCGTGGACAAGCTCGAGGAGAGTGGAGCCTGGGTCTCTGCCCAGAACATGAATCTTCTTGCGTGTACCCTCGTCGAACCATCCCTGTAAAACGATGGGTTATTTCTCGGTCCGTGACGAACACTTCGGTCCCAGACTCGCCTTTATCCAGTTCCATATCGTAGGGAAGAACGATGGCGAGTTGACGACGGCTATGGCATGAAGGGTCTCAGGATAATTCGCAGTAGAAAGCTTTGAAGCCTCTTGGAGATGGCTCCGGAGCCTCCACAACGAAGCAAAGGAAACACTTTCCAGGTCTATGATCGTAGTCGTCGAGGATATTGGAGTGGGTGCAATGGAGCGAGGAACGTGGGAGCAAAGAGGGAAGGTAAACATGATCAGCCACTCATAAAGAGCGACACTAACGTGGAGAAATAGATTAGACACATGAAGTAAACGCGCATATATTCCACAAAAACTGACATTCTGTGATACCGCGATTGAGCGGGTACGGCGTCCAGTTCGTGCTGGATAGCTTCGAGGGAAGCTAGTCGATAGACAAACAGCGGGATTCCAAGCTATCATATGGAGAATAAACAAGAGTAGCGATGAGCAACAGGGGACGAACGCACCTTATCTCTCCGCCCAGTCCATCGCGGATAGAACCGCTGCGCATGCTCCATGTCTTCCGGAGTCAGTTCGTGGTACACCTTGGGGACATTGTGCTTCTTCCTCCAGCTCTCAGAATCGGCGAATTGCTTCTGTGCAGCAGTAGGGTTGAACCCTCTCGCTCGCAAGAATCGTCTACAGGCGTTAAATCTCTCTTAGGAGCTCTTATCGGTCATGAATATATCATAGAAACTCACAACAAAGTTGGGTCATCATGCGAGGCTTCCTGGCCCTCACCCCCAGGCGTGTAGAGGTTGGCCTTGATCAGATTCTCTTTGAATATCGTCAATGCCTGCTCTTGCTCCAGCGTGAGGTTCCCGAGGTGCCCAGGGAGAACCAGATGTTGACTTAGTGAGGAACTTTCATTCATTGGGGTCGTTACTTGTTCGCCCATGTTGAGTAGTGTCGATGATGGGTTGGTGCTGAGAGGATTATTCCGATTCTCCCACAGATATCGAGGAATACGAGGAATACGGCGATGAGAATGCTGACTGTGCTTGGTCAAGCAGGTCCGGAGTCCGGCACATCGATAAAAGGGGATCAACAACGACAGTGATGGTCATGGCAGAAGGCAAGGATCATAAAAGGGCCGGAAGCCAATCGGATTCCAAAATTTAGTACTCTGCCCGACATATAGATTAGATTACGACTCTACTCGTTTCACAAAGTCTTGCTCCATGAAGATCACGCCCGAATAGCTGTGCGTTTAGGCGGCAACTTGGCTGCGCACACCTTGACCTTCTCCTTCACATCGTCAGTCTCCACATACCTCTGCGTAAGCCTCACGAAATCGTCCATACGGGCATAATCCGCCATGTCAATCGTGACCTTCGCCCAGTTCTCCGGAGTGAACTTCTCCACGTCCTTTGCGGTCTCACCACCAAACCACCTCTGCCAATACGTCGGTTCGACCCTCTCGACCCAGCGCTTCTCTGCGATCTTCTCGCCAACGTTGAATCGGTAGTACGTGCCTTTCTCGCAGAGCGGTTGCGCCATCTGGTTGGCGTGCTCGGTCTTGGTGGTCAACTCCCACATGCTCTTGAGGATACCTGCAGTGCCAGTAAAATTGTTGAGGATGTTCGTGCCCTCCGGTGGTAAGGAGACGTTAGGCTCCATGCCTGTGCCAATCGTGACGAGGCAACCAAATGGACGAGCAAAACCGAAATGCAGGCGTGCCTCGCCCATTAACAACAGGACTGGGTTGTTGAAGCCCAAACCTCCATCAACATATTCATACTCATCCAACCTCATACGTGGGAAGTAGGTGGGTGCCGCAGACGTAGCTCTCGCTGCTTGCCAAATGAGATAGTCCGCGAATGATTTCTCGACGTTCTTGTTGGTGTATGTCCGAAGATGGGTTGCAACTCGATTGCTCAAGTCGTCCGCACGCGTGGCAAGGACGAATCTAATGAGTCCAAAGTTCGTCAAGGGTGCTATGAAAGAGGTGGAAGTTAAGGCGTACACTTTGCAACCATCCTCAGAGTCCCGCATCGGCGCATCCGGATCATGAGCGTACATCTTGACCACCTCCTTGATAGCCTCTTCGAGGACCGTTGCAGAGTATCTCGCCCCAGAGACAGAGGCGCTACCGGCCTGGCTCATGATCCCTGCATTGAAGATCTTGGAGGCCAATTTCCCGTAGGCCTCGATGCATTCGTCGACGGACATCTTCAACCTTCCCAACATGATGGCGATGAGGCTAATTTAGAGTCAATGAGGAGAGAATTATGATGATAGTTGAGGTTCGTACCCTCCAGTACTGGTTCCCGCCATCATGTCAAAGTATTCATGTGGTTTCGCGTTGGGGTCCCCAGTAAGCTTGGTCATGATTGCTTTGAGCACATGAAGGGACGAAATTCCTCGAACCCCTCCGCCATCTACAGAAAGATGAGTTACAGTCACAGCTGATTGTTAAACAATTCAAGATTACTAACCAAGAGAAAGAAGGCGCAACGGCCGCCCACCAACACCATAGGCTCGGTCAGCACGAAGCTCTTGAGAAAGTAGGGTTGCTTCGACAGAGAGTGCAGCCGCAACGCCCGGAGGGGTGACATCGTTGAGGTACTCCGCAAGCTTCTCTTGCAGAGCATAGTTATAGTTGGTGACTTTCTGCCAATCCACGGCTGGCTTGGCCAGCGCTCTACGTGGCCCTGAGAGCGGCTTTAGTCCAGGAACTTAAGGTGTCCACATTGAATAAGCACCTGTGTTTGAAATTCGGACGACAAGGCGGGCAGCATGCGCATCGAGTTCCCAACCCGGGAAGCGAGCACAAGCACGGACGGCGATGACATTTCCTGGCTAACCAACACAGTCAAACGAGGAATCTAGCACCACGGACAATAATATTCACCTGAATAAGTCCGAGGATCTCATGGTCACGACCAAAGAGCCTTCCAGTCTGTTCGTCCGTCTCTGTCGCATTCTTCGGGATATCATGGCTCCTCCAAACGAGAGCCCGACCGTCTTTCACCCGTGGCTCCGTTGAGTCCGGATTCTCGAGGATGACGAGATCGAACCAGCACCAGATGCCTGTCGAGTCGTTGGGCAGAGTGCCTTCATGATGCGCATGCGTGAAGAGCTGGATGTCCTCGATCTTCGGGACGACCTCTGCGTCTAGAACCTGTTTCCAGAGGTTCGATAAGAATTGAAATTACACCAGTTCCCGGCTACATGATATAAAAGAACTTACTGGGGTCGAGAACCAGACCATGTCGACCTGTTCATCCGTCGTCGACTTGACATGACAGCTGGAGGTGGGGATCAGAGAGTAGACGCCGTCCTCGATATTGATAGGGATATCGTCCGGCGTTTCTTTGTAATTGCTCAGGGTCCACGACATCGGCGTGAATATATCTGGAAGAAGGGAATAAAAATCTGCGGTTCCGCCGAGAACGCCGGCATTCGTACCTTCGTCAAGGATTTTGGCGACCAGCCTGCCTGAGCGAGCATCGTTGACCCAACCGGGATACCTTGCACAGACACGGACGCCAATCACATTGCCAACCTGTAAGCGATGATTAGGTGTGATTGAGTCGGGATAGATATAGACGGACTTCGAGGGCATCCAACAACTCTTGACGACGATCGAATACCATTCCAAAATGCCTCGCTATCGAGTCCTGCTTGTCGTTGGGATCTGTGCGATTGCCATGGCTCCTCCACGTCAACGGAGAGTTGTCCTTCGTGCGCGGTTCAAGAGCGTGCTGGTTCTTGAAGATTGAAAGTTCGAACCAGCTCCAACATCCAGAGATCATGTCGTCTGAATGCCCATGATCACACGAGTCCGTCTGGAGCTGGAGCTGAACGGCGCGGTAGATGAAGGTGCGATCGACGGGGTCGGTCTTGAACCAGACTTGCGAGACCACTATTTCGTCGGTGGACGCTACGCGACACGGTACAGACGAACGCGCAATTTCGGTGATAGACATGGTGAATTTGTGCCTCCCATTATCACCGGAGCCCGACTTTTATAGCGAAAAAGATGAAGGCTTCGGCCCTGGCTGGGTACCTCGATGTTGGGTCGAAGCGACAGGGCTCCATAAGTGATATCTATAAAAGTGAATTGCGGTGAGCGCCCATGGTCATCTTCCGATTTGTGAGTGTTTTGAAACCTGACGGGTACAAATATTGGAACCGAAGGGAGCGCAGGCATAGGTTAGAGATAAAGGGCACATGGGCGTTGTTTTCCCGCTCAGACGCCCCAAATGCAGAAGACCCTGTTCCCACGCATCAGCAAGTGACGTCTTGACACCAAACTTGTTCTTTGCACCTCTTGCACGCAGACCTTTGGCATATTGTGGGCAGACTCCAAGCAGAACAAAGGGTCTTCTAGGTCCGTTTAATTCATTATACCCACCGTTCGTTCTATTCATGTCGAAGTCCAGGGCACTAATGGATCTCACTCGGGCTGACGCAGTCCTACAACTGTATTACACCCTTCCTCCCGGAGATGCACTCGCAATGAAGACCGTCGTTGAAGGAATAGATCAAATTACCCGAGACGTCGACTCAGAACTGCAGCGGCTCCAAGACGCCGTTGCGAAACTCACGCAAGAGCGGTCGCTTTTGCTCGAGCAGAGAGAGAAATACCGTTGCTCCGTGTCGCTTCTGCGCACTATCCCCACGGAGAACATGCAGCAAATATTTCAGTTTGCCATCTCCTCTGACATCAAGATGCGTACAATCATCTGCCTTGTATGCCGCTTTTGGAAAGACGCCACCATGAGGACCCCTAATCTTTAGACGACCCTCAACGTTTTCGAGAAAAAAGCGTCCAAAGAAGGGCCATCTCTCGAATGCATCGGCGCTCTTATATCTCGATCCGGTTCGCTTCCTCTTACTCTGCGATTCGATGGTGACTGGGATTATTTCCACAACACCGTGGCCTTTCCTCTCGAACACCTCTTCAAGGCGGTCGACCTTTCAAGATGGTCATCGATCTCTCTCAAGCTCCCGCCCGACCACACTCTTCCTTTTCCGAGGAAGAAGAAAAACATCTGGACCAACCTCAAGAAACTCTCTCTTTCGACACAACAGAATGATTTTCGGTCTCATTTTTTCCCAGCTTTAGGGCATCTCGCTCTGAAAGACCTCCCAGAGCGAACTTCAATCCAAATTAATATCCCCTGGTCCACCCTCACCTCCCTCAAACTCGACATTGCAATGAAACTCAAGGCTTTTTTGAATATCCTACCCAGCTGCACCCTCCTCCATCAGATCGTCATCACTGTGAACGCAGGCGGCTCCTTCGACTCCAGCTCTGAGTCTGACGATTCTGATGCTGTCGCTAGTCCATCCAAGCCCGTCATGCTGAAGACTCTCCAAGAATTGTCAATCTCGGCGAATAGGTTTCCCGATGGGCTTCTTCCTCGCATGATAACACCGGTCTTACGTAAGTTTACCTCTCGCGTCCTCGAAGATTATTTGGACTATGGATTAGACGATGAAGGCGAACTGCTGCCTTTCCTCGGTCAGGTAGCCAACACACTGGAAGCCCTCCACATAGACTACGAGGATCCCGACGACCAATCCCTTCGTGATTGTTTAAACAACATGTCCAATCTTGCAGAACTCCGGTTGCATTCCTTGTCTGACCAAACTGCGGAATTCTTGACTTTCCTGACATTCATACCTAGCTGCCGCAATGTCCCGAACCTCGAAAAGCTCGAGATGATGATGCCTAATCAAGAACGCACGGATACCGATGGTGACCCCGGTACGGAGGAGCTATTCATCGCCCTCGTACAGTCACGATGGTGGAACGACGCCGTTCTACACACGGAAGAACACGACGAAAGCGGTGTTCGCTCATTCTGTCGACGCCTCAAGTATGCTGCCTTCCGATGTTTGGGGGGCTCGAAATTCCAGTGGCCAGAAAGGCTGGAGAACCTCCAAAGACAGTGTGAAGGTGTCATCAATGTTCAATTTGAAGTTATTGGCTGACAACAGTATTATTTGCAATTTACTCGAGAACCTCGCATCGGACCTCGAAGGTTGGTTGGGACTTCAAATATCCTATTTTGGCGTACATGCTACTCTACGTTTGTCACCTTATGAAACTATTCGACTCTTGTTGTTTCTACGTCATGTATTCCTCCTTGAGTTCGCACACAGGAGCAATAAGATACATTCCTGCTCCTGTGCAACCAAATGATTGAACCAGTGCCGAGTCGTCTTTTCTGAAGAAAGGAAGTAAGGTGCTAGCTTGTTTCCCTCGTCCGAAAAGATAGGACGGGCGTTCTGTGAAAATTATAAATTCCTGGTTTACACCAACTGACCAACCTGATTTCCTTCTTCGCATTTATTCGATACACTATGAGGGGCTCTTCAATACACAAGCGCCTGGCCGGCGCAATTATGCGACCACGCATGCAATCAAACTGTCTTTAAATAAAGGCGCGTTGAGGGCATCGTTTGGAACGCGATCTGGCCGGCCCTGAAGGCAAAACAGCTCCCTTGGGTCGACGTCAGTGACGACGACGATAAGGAAAAGAGGAACGGAATTAAGCGAAAGCATTCCAGTAGCCATAACCACCACGATCACTCTCAGAATGGTCAGAACGGGCATAAACACAAAAAACGCCGGCGCTCATCACAGCACAGCGACTCCCCACACCTGAATGGAGTTTCAGACGAAGCGGGTCCGAGCAGACAAAGCACGCCCCACACCAATGGCATGAACTCGGGCTCGATAAGCGCAAAAGCAAAGGCAATCCAAGAGCAGCGTCGTCAGCTCCCCATTGCCCAAGGTTCGTCCTCTCGAACGACAGCCTTCCCCCACTTACTCAGCATATAGGAAGAGATGCTCTCATTGATGAAATCAAGAATAACGATGTCACTGTACTTCTAGGAGAAACGGGTTCTGGAAAGACAACTCGTGAGTCCAAAGCTGTCGGTTGTCAAACAGGCGCTCATTGTGCGCAGAGGTTCCTCAATACATCCTGGAGAGCGGGATAGCGAGAAACGGCATGATAGCAGTTACTCAGCCACGTCGAGTTGCCGCCACTTCTCTTGCGCAGCGTGTAGCGTTGGAGCAAAGTGTTCCCGTTGGAGGCCTTGTTGGTTATGCCGTTCGTTTCGACGAGAAGCATTCGGCCAAAACCCGGATAAAATACCTTACTGATGGAATGATTGTCCGGGAACTCATGTCGGATCCGCTTCTGAGCAACTACAGTGTGGTGATCGTCGACGAAGCCCACGAAAGGACGCTCCGAACGGATTTGCTCATAGCCAATCTCAAGTCCATTCAAAAGCAGAGGAACCCAAGTCCCAACGATAAGGGGAAGGGGAAGGCGGATTCTTCCAACCCTCTCAAGGTTGTCATTATGAGTGCTACTCTCGACGCTGAGAAATTCAGCAAATTCTATTACAAGTAAGCACCACTTTCTCACAGTTGCGCCCGCAGGACTGACAGCCCAAAGTGCGAAAATTGTCTACATCAAGGGCCGGCAACATCCCGTCAAGATATATCACTCTGTGGAAAGCCAGTTAGACTATACAGACGCTGCTATGCGAGCGTTCTTCCAAATCCACACCGATCAACCGCCGGGAGATGTTTTGATATTCCTACCTGGTCAAGAGGATATCGAGAGTCTTCAAAAGTCAATTCAACTTTTTGCCAACCAACTGCCTGTGGATACGCCCGCGGTACGCTACGTACTTATGCTGTTGCCGTCCATGATAATATTGACTAGGAACTTGTCTCAGGTGCTGACATGTACCATGTTCGCTGCACAGGACAACTCGCAAAATAGCAAGGCTTTCAATCCAACGCCTCCCAACACGCGGAAATGTATCCTGGCCACCAACATTGCTGAAACGTCGATAACGATACCTGGTATCAAATACGTTATCGACACCGGGAAGTGCAAGGAAAAGCAGTACCTTGCCAGATCCGCAGGTGGAGGTACGAGGGCCTCCATATATGCGTTCAAATCATACTCAGCCCATTGTAGGATTTGATACTCTCTTGACGAGGGATATCACAAAGTCCTCTGCCATGCAACGAACTGGGCGAGCGGGTCGCGAGGTATTGTTTTCTTGCTAGGTTGAGTGTTCCGGACATTAACGCGACGTAGGGCATGGGCGTCTGCTTTCGCCTGTACACAGAGGAGGCGTATAGCAGTATGGCAGTCTCAGGAGACCCCGAAATCCTCAGGTGCAGCCTCACCTCGAGCATCCTGAATCTCAAATGTCTGGGACAGAACCTTGAAGACATTGACCTCATGGACAAGCCCGATTTTGAGTCTAGCAAGTGATCATTTTCTCGATTACTCTTTGAGATTCCTCACCCTATTACAGTCGCCTCGGCCCTTAAAACACTTTGGCTTCTCGGTGCCATCGATAATAACCAATATCTGACACCCGCAGGACGGAAAATGGCGCTATTCCCACTTGAACCCCAATTTGCCTGTGCCATCGTCGCCTCCAAGGAATATGCATGTACTTCAGAAATTCTTGACATCATCTCGATCCTCTCAACCTCCTCAAAGCTGTTCCTCAACATAACCGAGCAACGCGAGGCAGTTGCCGAAGCGCGACGCAAATTTCGCAACCCAAGCGGGGACCACTGC